CCCAGTACCTCCATTTAAATAAATAAATAAACCCAATTACCTCCCCCAAAACAAAACAAAACAAAAATTTTAAGATGCTACCTGTGCTCTCACAATCCTCAGCCTGAGTGTTCAACAAAGAAATGTTATTGTATAGAATGAACTGGATGCTTGCTCAGTTGTTTTTGGTCATGCGCCCTCAGTTCTGAACTCACGACAAAAGAAAGTAAGATTATGCAAGTACACTTCATTTTTTATTATTTGCTTTACATAAATAAAGTTATGCACGTCTTACCCATGTTTCAGAGTTTCGCTAGGCTCTGGGTGCAGTACTGAATACTAATGAGTAAGAAAGAGGCTGACTTTGCCCTTATGAAGTTTATCGTTTATCTCTGGGCACATGGTTCTTAGAAGTGACCTTTTTGGTGTGGCATCTTTAATGCTATGATGTTTAGACAGAACTCTTGGCAGTAGTCACTGATACCTGAGATACTTTTTCATGGTTACTTTTTGCACGCTAGTTTGGTTTTTTGCTCCATTTTCCATCTCCACCAATTCAGCAATTTAAGTAATTTTTGCGGACTTAATTTTTCTGGGTCTGAACTTTGTGATGGATTTTTGTCATTTATGACGTTTATGATTCTTACTTCAGGCAAGTGAGATGCTACCTAGATAACAGATCACTCCTCTATACACCAACTCAGCTTGAAAACCGTTCACTAACCACAGATGACAAACTGAGCATGAATGGAAAATGCTGCTCAGCAGGGAGGGGAAGTTACCTACTCAGCACATCTGCTGTGCACCCTGGTGCACTGTGTTACGTTGCTACCATGTCTAACCAGTAGCCTGAAGAGTTAATGGTGTGGACTAGGGACTGTAGGCTTGCAACCATTTTTATCATATATCTTTTTCATTCTTTTTGACCGTTGGCAACAATTAGCTTTCTTTAGTCTCTTTCTCTTCAGACATGTTACTCTTCCTTATTTTAACATCACTAACACAGGTCAGAAATCTTCCATTTATTTTCTGAGGAAGTGGTTTAAATTCACAAAATTATTAACTGCCTGTTTGAACAGCTGGCATCAAAATTACTCTGTCCCCCTCCTCCATCAAAACTGCTGAATTTGTCATATTCCACCTGGGGATTTGAACATTTTCTTCTTGTTCGCCCTTTTTTCTGCTGTTTTTATTTTCTGTTATTTTACTCTTCACTTGAATTCACCAGTTGTTGACATTTTGCCATGCTTGGTTTATCTGATGGATGGATGGATGATGAGTATATAGAAGAACAGAATAGAATACATAGACTAGGACAGGACAGGACAGGAGATACACACTCACACGCACACAAACATACGCTTTAACCAACTGTTTAAAGTAAGTTACAGACATGATGAAACTTCCCCTCTAAACACCTCAGCAGACATCTTGTCCTAAGAACATTTTCCTACATAACTACAATGCCATCGTCATACCCAAGAAATTTAATATTGACACGATGTTATCTGATACGCACTCCATACTCAGGGTTCTCCAGGTGTCTGAAAAAAGTGTCTCCCGTGGCTATTCTATTTTTCTGATCCAGGATCCAACCCAGGATTATATATTGCGTTTGGTTGTTATGTCTTTAACCTAGAAAAGTCTGCTCTTTTTCAGTCTTTCATACACATTGACACTTTTGGAGAGTCCAGACCAGTCATCCTGCTGAATATCCCATAATCTGCAATTATCTGATTATTTTCCCCTGATTAGATTCAGGGTAACATTTATGGTGGCTGCGGAGTTTCAAAGTTTTTATTTTTGCAGCCTGTTTGTTTCCCTGGGCTTACTTCTACTTGTGTCTTGTCTTCAGGTCTTCTATTTAATTGCTTGCCATTTGTTTTGAGTCCAGAAAACACATGTCCAGGCTTTTAGAGTTATGTTAAAGCAAAAGTAATTAGGTGCTTAGCGCCACGCCTGGGGATGAAGTGCGTGGGCTTTAGATATATTTCGGTCTTCTAAAAGCTTTCAAAGTCGGTTCCTGGATCTTTGTTGCATTTCAAATAAGGAAACATATTTAAAGACAGACTCTAGAAAAGTAACATATAACCATATTCATACACTTTCTGTATGTATGACACAAGAGACCATTAAAACTCTATTGTATTTACCAGGACAGTTGTGGTATAGCCCAGTTCTAGTCAATAGAGATTTTTCTAAAAATGATTTCATCTCTCCAGACAATGGAAGAAATACCTGTTCAGGAGTATTGGTGGTTTGGGAAATGTAGGTAAACTTTTTATCAATGTTTTTATTTTACGTTTCAGTCCCAATGTTTTCATACCCATATAAATTTAAAAGAATTTCATTTTAAATTATGTTATACAATTTACAATTATAATATAGTTAATTCAGAAACTGAATTTCTTAGCTTAGCAATATTAATTATACAGTATCTACCAGGCACCCGAATTCTGAAACCTCAAATGCCATTAGTTTAAGATTTGAGAATTCATATTTAATTCCCAGAAATTACATGCCTCTCTGGAAAATTCACAGCCTGAGTGAAGTTTATTTATATATTGATCCACCACCTCCCAGCCCCGCACATATGTGGTTTTGTTGTTGTTTGAGTATTTACCCAGTTCTATTGCTTTGGGGTTTTTTTTTTACCCCCCTCTCCCAGTGCTTGAAGGTGTTAATTTGAGTTTCTCATCTCAGTCAGACAAGTAAACTGACATATTCGTTCTTGCTAAGGTGTTTAGCATGAATTTTAAGACATTTTATCATTTTTAAAAATCAGTTTAAAAGATCTAAAACCATTCGAATCACTTGAAACCAGTATCTGGAAAGAATAATAATGAATTTCTAATAGTGGGATTTCAGACACTTTGACACTTGAGTGAGAGGAATAATTGTGAGCAGGAGCGCCTTCTCAGTACCACAGCACAGGCAGTCAGCCGCTGTCACTTAGAGCGAGTGCAGATCTGAGATGTCAGAGGAGAAGTACTCAACCCACTCCCTTCATTAAACACTCAAAATCATTTTAATAATAATATTACCTACCCCCGTAGAGCACCTGTGAGGATTCTGTGAGATAATTACCCAACTAAAGTACTTGGAACAAAGCCTGTAACATAGTATATGCTAAATACATGTTAAGTTACATTATTATTATTATTGCCCCCATTATGATCTTCTAATTAAATTGTCTCAAAAAATGTAACATTCCAGAAATTACTTAAATGAAATTTACATGCAAAGTATGACTTCCCTTCTAAAACACAGGAATTATTCTAAACAACAATTGGTAGTCCCACCTGCCTTTCCACTTGCACTATCCATCTTCCATTCCAGCCAAACATGTTTAATGTATTAGGCTGGAATCAAGTTTGCAATACTCTGTTCTGCCTCCGGGCGTTCACATGCTTTGCTTATGTCCATGCCCGGTTCCAAACGGCACTATGTTTTTGGTCTACTCTTAAAATCCAACCCATCTAACTCGGTATTAGTTCATGCATGAAGCCACCCACGACCAGTCCAACTTGAGATGCTCTGACCCTCCTCTGAATCGATCGCTGTAGTGCTTCTGGCTTTACACATGTACTCCATGTGCACTTCTGTTAGTTCTACAGGAATAGTCTTCTTGGAACTATATTCTGAGAGGCTGTTTTTCACTTGTCTGACTACTTCATGGAAGCTAGCACATACTAAATTCTTGAAAGTATTAGTTGAGTTTTTGTGATTTTTTTATACATGATCTTTGAATATATAAATTATCTGCCTTTTTCAGACTGCAATAAAATGCAATGTTTTATTTGAATCTGAAACTTTTTAAAAAATATCCTGAAGATTTTATATGCTATAAAAATATCACTATTTCTAGAGTTCTTCCAAAGCCCTTTACTAAGTGTTACTATTTAATCAATTAGTACTCTGTGGCAACCAAACGTTGTTGGTGTATAATTTGAGGGAAGCCCACACTTACTGGATTCCTACCATTGACAAGTACCGTGCCAAATGGTCTCACAACATACTCTCTTGTTTAATCTTCTAAGTCGGGGACATCAGGTAATTTTCTCAAGTCTCAGAACTGTTCAGTGGTGAGCCAGGGTTTACACTCTCCTGTCTTCACCCCAAAATCTGTTCTACCTTTTATAGTTCTTATTTCAATTAATGACACAGAGAGAAATATGTATCTCATCCAGGGTTCTCTTTCTCCCATACCCCGTGTCAATAAATCCTGCCATCAATAAAGTGCATCTCAAGTCCACTCACTCCTCTCCATGCCGACTGACAGAGTCAGGTTGAAGACTGCGCCGTGTCTCATCTGGACCTTTTCCGCAGCCTCCCTGTTTGCTCTCTCCACAGCATCGTTCCCACCGTCACCACCAGAGTCATCTTTCTAAAACACAAAGATGAACAAATCACTCTCTTAAAACCCAACCTTAGTAGCTACCCATCAGCTAAAAGATAAAATTAAAACTCCAGAGAATTCAAGACCTTTTCACCCTTATCTCCAGTTGCTTCCCAGCTCATAACGCACACACTGCTGAGTGACACGCGGGCCTCTCTGGAACAGCTTGCGTGCTTCCCGGGCCCACGCTGCTCCCACTGCCTCACAGCCGTGCTCTCTCAACGCCTCTCCTACTGTCCTTAAGACTTGACTTCAGTGTCATCCCCTCTAGAAAGACTTCTCCAGCCCAAGCTTTGTTCTATCCAAAATTTAGAACTCCTTCCTTTGGGCAACCACAGCAGCATGATTTTCCTTTTCGTAAAAGTTACCGTATTTGTCTCTTTTTATACATTGACTAGATACTGCCTGAGTTCTTACCATGTGCCAGGCACTCTGCTAGGGCTGGAACTAGAGAGGGGAAAACACTTTCCTCAGGTTGCTTGCATTTTAATGGAGACAAAATGCAAAAAAGACAGGATGCTGGGGTTACTGCAGGGCATTCTCAACACACCTGCCGTGATTTTTCAGTGTAAAAACTAGGCAATCTTACAAGCGGAATTTTCAGTTTGGGATATTTTGTTTCCTCTTTAAAGCAAAACAACTTTAATGAATTTTTAACAGGTACCTTTCCAAGCAACGTCTTTAGCCCAACATGTTAAACCACTCCTGGGGTAGCACGTGGGCTCCAAATGCTTCCTGTGAAAAGTAAAATTTTTAAATCTTGACCTTTTACATAGCAGATTTTGGTTTTAAAAAGGCAACACATCTTGCCAATAGCAAAGAGCAACGATTATGAATTATAATTGGTATCATGCCTTATGTAAAGTGGTATTCATTATGTTGATTGATGTATATGTAGAATTTGAGAAAATGAATTATGAGTTTAGTCTTATTAAAATCTGCAATTGCTAAGGAGATCCACCTTACAGATTTCATGTTAAAGTCTATGAACACTACAGTAAAAGAATATTCTGAAATTCTATTACAGAACAGCCAGCCAAGGACCAGTCTATCTCCTGATGTCGGATCCAGCTCACAGCGAAAATACTAAGGACGTGTAACAGTAACTGTTAAATGGAATCATTATTTTTGAGAATCTCCTGTAAATACATTATATATTTCTGCATTTGTTAATTATTAAAACACTATAACCATAAAATAGAAATAAATCATAACATGGGCAATGGAGATAAATTGACCAGTTGACATTTATGCTACCAATTATACTTTATTATATATTTTATTGATAAGTACATTTTTAACAAATGGAAATACTTCACTGTTTTTCATGAGAATGCTACTGGAAATAAATTCATTATATTTAAAAATAAAACAGAAGATATTTTGTTACTCATATTATGTATTAGCTAGTTGCGAAGCTTGCTTTTCTGAAGTTCCTAATAAATTCTACTAAATTTTTGTACAGTGGTGTAGAAACTTTATGACTGATAATATCCCTCATAAATAGTAATGCTTCTTGTTTAAGACTCCAAAGGATCCCTGTACTTTGGGGATGTTACCAAGGGGTCTTGTTCTCAATTCTGCATGTTCAGAAGTTAGCGTTATCACTTTATCTGGGGGTGGCTGGCCTCAAAGAACTGACTTCATTACCAGCGCTCACAAGGTAAATGGTAAATACAAAAAATAAACTGCAATCCCAGCTGGTTTTCTTGAACTGCCTGATTAGTTATGTTCCTTTCCCAATAAGAATGTCTGCTGGGAAAAAAAGATCAATATTTGAAGGTTGTTTTTTCAAATAGAGAAACAAAACCAAAAGTTGAATGATCATTAAAAAACAACTTGTCACAGAATTCTGGTAGTTTTATATATCCTTTCATTTTCCATCAATTATTTCTTTTTATGCTCTAGATCGCCACCCCTCATTTGGACTATTTCAGGATGGATTTCTTACCTCTGGTACCAATAAGACTGCTAGAATAGTAGCATTTCTAAAGAGTGAGTGAAATGGCCAGAGTGAAAGTCGTATCAATCCCATCTTGAAAGTTTTTAGAGCTTCCCTTCCAGCTACTAAAGAAAATTTACACCCCTTAGCATGAAGCACGAGGCTCTTCATATTCTGAGGCCCCCTGCTTACCCACATCATCTCTGCCACCTCTCTCACCACACTGTGTAGCCCCCTGTATCCACCCTGCTATTTCATGCCCCTCTGCCTGCTCATACACTATCCCCTTAGCTTGGAACGCCTTCTCTTTCACCCCACTAACTTCTGCTTAATGAACTTTAATTCACTCTTTTAAACTCTGCTTAGATTGAATTTTCTCCCATTTCTCCTAATAATCCTCTCTAATACTTCCTCTATATAAATTATGTCCTGCATACTCTAAACCGTAATTATTTGTGTGTATATACGTCTCTTCTTCTAGATCAGGAGCTCCTAAAAGGTAGAGATTGTCATTCGTTTCTGTGTCCTTAGGAATTAAAACAGGAGACATGATGGCAGATCAAAATAGCAAAGCAAGAAAACAATATTCAGTTGTTCAGTGTATCAAGCCCCCACTTTGCGCTAGGTACTGCTCTGTGTGTTAGGCACACAGTCGAAGACATTATGGAACTTAAATTTCAGTGAGGATTACAGATTTTTAAAACATAAGAATATAATATCAGATAGTTATAAGATGTGCTGAGTGAAAATCAAGCGTGGTGAAGGGACAGAGAGTGACAGGGGGACTATTACAGTTAGAGAGGTGGAGTGGGTCTCTAAGAAGGTGACATCTGAGCACGTCTGAGTGACGTAAGAGAACGAACCTCGGTGGCAGTGGGAGAAGAGAATTCTACACAGAGGAAACGAGTGCAGAGGACCTTGGGCGGGAGCCTTCTTACCATGGTTACGGAGTAGAAACGCTAGCACGACTGGTGAGCAGTGAGCAAGGCAAGGCTTCGGGGAAGGGGGGTAACAGGCGCCACGAGCAGGATCGCGTATGAGGGACTCTGGATGCCAGTCTAGAGTTACGTGAGTGACTCCTTTGTGGGGATCAGAGTAAGGAGGGACGTGATCCTTTTTAAAAGATCACCCTGGTGTCTGGAGAATATATTTAGGAGAGGGAAGGAGGCGGCAGGTATTTAAGGAGGGGGACCGATTAAAGGAAAAATTAGTATTTCAAAGTATGTTCTTTATCTGACCAGTTAATACTGCCACCATTGTTAACCTCATCCAAGCCATAAACTTCTCTCACTTAGCTTATTGCAAAAGTTCTTTATTTTTTAAAAACTTATGATGGATTGGTTGTGAAGTATGGGAAAACAGGACGAATCAAGAATGATCTTAATGTTTTTTGGCCTGAGTAGCTCTGAATGACAGAACCATTTACTGAGGTGGAGAATACAGGGGGAGAAGCAGGTTTGGTTTGAAAATCAGTCTTTAGGCTTAAAATGCCTGTTATCTCTCCAAATGGTTTATACTGAATGAGCAGTTAAATACACAAGTTAAAAACAGGATTTGGGGATTGTCAGTATCTAGGTGATATTTACAGCCATGAAATTGGATGAAATCACCTGGAGGGAGAATGTAGGTAGAGAAGAGGACTGAGGAGCCAAGCCAAGGAATTGTCTCAAGATAAAGGATGGATCAACTATGTCAACGCTGACAAAAAGTTTAGGTTAGATTAAGACTGAAAAACTCCCACTGGATCTGGCTACCTGGAGGTCACTGGTGGCTTTGACAAAAGTGGTTCAGCAGAGTATTGGGACAAAAACCTAACTGGAATGAGTTAAATCAAGAGGAAATTTAAAAAGATAATAATTGGATACTATTAGCAGTTTTATGATAATAAAGTTAAAAGTTAGATACAACAGAAGTGGTAAGCAGAATCATTGACCCCAAGATGTCCACATCTTCCTCCTCCGGACTTGGAAGACATTACCTTACGGGGCAAAAGGAACTTTGCAGATACGACTAAGTTAAAGATCTTGAGATGGAATGTTATCTGGAATTATCTTGATGGATTCAATGC